AACAAAGTCACGACACGTAAAAGGTGAGGACCACAGGGAAAGCACAATGTCTTCTAGCACCACATACATGTATGTATACTGAACTAATACGCATATGTATATGTAGATATTGCTTAAAATAGAAGAAAAAAACTGGTCATGCCAGGCTCTTCTTAATAAATAACAATTTGTGCGCAGATAGACGCATGGTTAACCGAGACACAATCAACGTGTTAACGTGTTTGTGTACTTTATGGGTTTATTCTCTATCCATACACTTGCCCTTTCAACCACCGAGCAATCAAAATAGGATTAATACTTGCAAGAAACAGCGAGCTCAGACATAGTATACGGCGGCGTGCGATGCGCTAGTTGTACACACCTTAATTTCGCTTCAAGAAATAGACTTCCGCACAGAAAAAAAAACACAGATTTTTCTACTTATTCGACATTCGATGTCACTAACACGGCTTTTGACTTCAGATTCTACTACATTGGTAGCTAATACGTCAATCTACGTCGAGATGTCCGGTTCGTTGTGGGACTATTTATGGACATACACGACATACAGATCACAGTGGCAAAGTTATAAATGAATGTACGAGTACCTTGAGGGTTCCACCGGTGGCAAGCAGATCGTCGACTACCACCACAGTCTGGCCCTCGGTGACACTTCCATCCTGGATCTCAAACACGTCCACCCCGTACTCCTTCTTGTACTCGGCAGATACACATTTTCCGGGGAGTTTACCCTGTGCGTAGGCGCATGCGAAAAAAAGTACGAGTATACACGGAAGTATAAATAAGGAGAAGGAGCACGTACTATGCGCATGCTCGAACGGGATACTGCATGTGTAGTTCGGTTTGTTGAATTGGGAGAGTATTCCCTATGCCTTCGAGTGGGGAAGTATATATATATATAAATATATATATATATAGGCATTGTAAACAAAATTGTCAGCCTATAGACATAGTTGGTATAAGAACTGCACCCCACGGCTGAAGAATGTCAAAGCCATGAATGAATTCTTAGAAGTGCTGCATGCCAGCAGAATAGCCCGGCAGATATGCCGAACGAAACCAGCATGGAGACGATAGTACCTGCACATAGGAGGTATATTTGACCTACCAATGTACAGCTGACGCGTTTGCAAATAATTAAGGCTAGTCTTTAGTAGTAAACTAGTAGCTCGTGATACGCCGTATATAACAACGAGGTGGCCTAAAAATTTGACAATGTAAGAAGCGATATTTGTCGTAGGATGGATTGAATTCTTTAAATATTAGCGTGGTTCCTCTAGGTATTGGAGCACGTGGTGGTACGATATCACCACAACAAGTCAGGATACGACCAGAACCACGCCACCGCTGGGTATATGTGAACACAGTTATGTGAAATACGTGTATGCATCGACCTATATATGCTTTCACAAAACTCAATAAACGAATATATATATATATATATTCCGCACTACTTGATCTGCGTATAGCGTACCTGTTTGCGGATAGGGACAAAGCTGCAGCCCAAGCGCATCGCCAGTGTAGGGCCCATTAAGAACCCTCGAGCATCTAAGCCAACAACAACGTCCACCTTCTTGTACTTCTTCAGACAGTGACCTACCAAATGGCTCATAAGCACCTCTGTGAGGACAGGGTCTTGGAAAATGGGAAACACATCCCGGAAGAGAATGCCAGGCTGTTGGTGTGAGGAATACATTGGAGCCAAGTGAGAATCTAGCTGAAACAAGGGGGTCTGAGTAAACTTCTGGCTCGCTCTAGAAACCTAATTATGCGGTGAACTCCAGCACTGAAGGCTACTGAGAACGGCGAGTCTGTCATACAGTATAGAGGGGAGTACATTTCATATATAAAAAACTCGTAGTGCGGCATAAAGTGAAAACCGACAGATCATTCAGAGTAAAAATATCTTACGGACGCAAATACAATAATTAATAATTCGATCTAAAATACTATACCCACACCCACACCCACATATATATATATATATATAATAATTATATAAATACATACATACATACATATATATATATATATATATATATATATATATGTATATATATATATATATATA